CATTTCCCCATGATGACTAAGTTACTAGATAACGCTGCCAAAACGCAACATGTTGCACACAACATCTGTGCTTCGAGTGCAGGCACTTCCTAACACAAAGGTGTTCACACATGCGTATCAAACTCGCATTCAAAAAACTGGTTTGAGTTTAGCTGTCAGTGAGCTAACGTTAAACATGATTGAAAATTCTAACATAGTAAAGGCCTAAGTGGTAACAATAACAAAGCATTTTTAAATTACTGTAGTGTACAGCCATTTCAAATAAGTAATTGTTCGAAAACTTAACAGTCTATTCAATGGTTACCTAACACAAATGGCCCATCATGCTACATACTTAAAAGCGCCTTATGGCCCGCAGTCATAAGATTAAGACTGCATTAGCTCAAGAAGTCAGGGAAGAAGAGACTTCTAAGAGCAGTTTACACATGGGAAGAGGCATCACCTCCCTAACAGTCCTACGAAAAGATGTAACTATTGCACAGTCCCTATTTGACTGAGCGGCAGTAGGCTCAAATTCTGCTGCCTCATTTCCTCAGAGAGATTTGGATTATCTAGCAACCCTCACACACAAACACAGCCAAGTTCTCAGTTTCCCCAGCAAATCCCAGCCTGGAAACTGCACTTGAACAACATACAGCTTTCAAGCATTTCATAAGCCACAGTCTGACTGTATCAGTAATTTTCCCCAAATTGATTTTAATTGGCCAGTATTTGAAAGATGCTACTTTTGGTCATTGTTAATGCAATGCGTGAGAAGCAAGAATATTTTATACCTGATCTATAAAATGCTTCCATAATTTTGTTTTATAGAAGATATCAAGTGACATGCATCAACAATGAAAAAATTAGTTTTAGACAACAGAAGTTAATTGTAAGCAAGCAAATAGAGGTTGGAGATGGACCCCAATTTAGCTACCCCTTCTCACCCTGGAAGTTGCACAACCAAACTGTAGAAGAAACAAGCGCTTGAGCCACCAGCTTACAGCCTCTTGTATTAAGAGTTAACAATCTAACGATTTCAGATTACCTAACACACTAGTCTAAGCCCAGTTGTTCAAAAGCTTTTTCACGTACAGTCTAGCTGGATTTCTCTAACACAGAGGATTAGGAGAGAAGAATGATTACTGACTCAGCTGCCTAACTTTAACTAGCCATCAGAAGTTGCCTTTGGGGTGAGTTTTTTTTTTTTTGTGTTTTTATTACAGAGATAGAAAATCATCAACTCTTCAGTTACATCCTGAGGCAAGATTACAGACATCAAAATGACAAAATGATAGCTATCAAGTTTAAACAGGATCATGTTCAAGGATAAGATAACCTTATATGGAGATGATGCTATTCTCTCCCCAAACAGTACTTGTCCAAGATTTTCTGACGGCCTTTTTTCTTCTGTATCTTGACAGAAGTCAAAACTGGAAAAAAGTGTAACAGATCACCTTTAATTGATAGGTAACTCTAAATATCAGCCTAAATCAATTTCTTGAGTTATACCCTTAACATGGCATTCCTCATGCTTCTTTCGTTGCATCAGCCATCGTTAGTAAAAATTTGTCTCCCTATGCAAATAAGTTTGGCATTTGCTATACTGAAACATTTCTATTTTGATATCAATTTTGCCCAAGGCGCATCATAACTAAAGTGTTTTTAACAGAACTCACGATGTTTAATCCAAGCACCCTTTTCAACTGACAATTTAAACAAGGCCGAGGACTGTTCTCTCCTCTTACCAAAAATAAAAAAAATAAAAAAAATCCAAACAAACCCACACACAGAAAAAGAACTAATCCCCCTTTCTTAATGGAGTTTTTATAAATAATATTTAACATGAAACATGTTCCAAAGAAGGGAAGTACTTTTAACATTAACATGTAATATTTCAAGATGCTATTCACTGACTCTTTTCTGCTATGTATACTCTGAAACGGCTGAATACGGGAGAAGGTTACCATTCCGGATCTTCACTATTTACACATATGTAGCAGTAGGTTATGAAAAAAGAAGTCCACTTGTCACTGGTGAATAAGTATCTGTCCTCAGTGTGCAGACCTAAATTCATTGGCTTCCATAAAGTTTAATGCAAGCAGGAACAGTGTTGGCTTTTTTGAGCTACTCCCCAGTCTTTCTGCCACTGTTGTTCACTGCTGCGTTACACACGGTAAGAGCTACAACACTGCCAAGTTTCTCTCTTCTCTACGCTCAACAGCAAGACTCACAATCATAATGGTTACGTATCATTGTTTAGTAAGCCTACAACTAATCCCAAAGGCAGGTAACAGTTTTCACAGGCAAGAATCACAAAGAAAAAGCATTCAAGAATTAGATATAGAGCTTTCAGGAAAAAGGAGAGTAACAAAGACTTTTCTTCTGATTTCTTCTCTTTGCCACAAACGAGGAACACAAAGCTCCTACCTTCCTAGACCTGATGAACAGGAAGGACTTTTAAATGCGCCAGTCTACATACACTAAATCCAAAACCGGGCTCAAAAAAGGCGCCCGTTAGAAACCCACTAAGAAGCCTCCTCTTTACCAAAAGGGGAAGGGCGAGGATGATCAGGAGGCAGAGGAAACAGCCCTCTCAGCCTTTGCACCCTCTTGTATTTCATTCCTGCCGCTGAGCGCTGGGTTTACTCTTCTATTCGTACACCCACAACAACATTTTCAACACACATACGCGCCACGTCAAGTTATGAATTACTATCGCTTTCAGGACAGAAAACGTGCTTTTTTCCCCCCCGGATCGTGAGGTACTTACGCGTCGTACTCGTAGGGCAGAACCGATTCGACCGAGTCCAGCCTGTTCACAAAGAGCTCGATCAGGGACTGAAACGTGGGGAAGAGAAGGGGAGGGGAAAAAAAAGAAAGTATGAAAATACGAGTAACAGATGCGCAGCATACACGGAACGTATCACTAGCTGGCACGACGGTAAACAACGAAGCGTAAGAGAGGCCGCTTCACCGCACGCGGCCGTTACCACAGAGCTCTGACAGGCCCCGACGGCCGCGGCCACGCCGGAGCCGCCCTCGCACGGCAGCGGGAGGCGGCAGCTACTCCCCCCCCGC